TCTGTGTGCGTGTGTATGGAGCCATTGGGTGCGGTCACTATAGCAACCAGGCTCACACCTGCCTGCTTAACGAGCTCTGCCTGCCACTGTACCAAGATTCATCTTAAGCACTTCTCTTTCAACTGCTGCTGTGTCCACAGTGTTACAGCCATCATTTTACCCTCAAATTGTCGCCATTATTGTTCTCTTTCCAACACTGTGTCTTTCAAAGCTCAGACTTTTACATTTTTTAAACTGTGTGGATCAAAGTGGAGGGATCACATTTGAGTCATTCAGTGATTCAAAGAATATGACCTTTTAATATTCATTCAGATGTTTTCTGACTCTAAATGTTCTTTTCTCATTTCTTAGGGTTTTCTAATTTACATTTAAAACATTTTCAGTTTTTTCCAACTCCTTCTTCTGTGTAACCTTCAGCTTTTAGCAGTTCAGCACCTTTGTTTTCAGGTTAAATTCGTTTTTTTTTTTTGTTTTTTTTTTTTATCTCATTCAATATTTTTAACTCAAAATTCAGCAATTAATTCATTTCAGTGCATACATTCAGATTCAAGCATTCACACTGCAGTTTCTTCAGAAAATGCACTTTCTAGTTTAAGTAGTTATTAGAAATAGTTCTCCAGGCTTCTTGCAGGACATTCAAAGCTCTTCTTTGGATGTTGGCTGTCTTTTGTTCTGTTCTCTGTTGAGGTCCAGGCTCTGGGGAGCCCGATCCATGACTGGCCTGTTTTTCTGTCCAGTGTTTGGGATCATTGTCAGTATTAAAAATAAAGCTGTTGTTGCCAGTTAGACACTCTCCAGATGGTATTGCACGGTGGATCAAAGTATGATGGTATTTTTCTGTGTTGATGATTCAGTTTTTGGCAAGATCCCCAACACCACTGGCTAAAATGCAGCTCCAAACCATGACAGAGCAGCTACCAGTTTATACACGGCTTTAGATACTCACTGCAGGACCTCTCATGACAATCATCTTGTTACTTTTATAATACTATTGAAACTTGGCTCTTTTTTGAAGTCGTCTATTATATGTAGACAGAAAACTCGTTAATCCTTTGAGTTAGGTGCCTTTTTTAATGCTTGAATGCTTCATAGGTCAGTGTTAAGTGGCTTAACAAACCAAAAACAACATTCCTTTGAAAATGGTCGGGTAGCCAGTGCATGAAGAAAAGCTTTCAAAGACAGCCTGCAGAACTATTGCTCAAGACCACATTAAACAATTATAAGAAAGTCTGATTTCGTGGAAGCAAAATATAAAAGAATGAGAGGTAGCTCAAGGATACCACTGACAATAGCTCGGGAATGTGATGAGATGTCAACTTTTATTTCCCACTGAGCAAGAGCATAAGAAGAAGGAAATCATTAACTTGTGTGCAGCAGTAGTCCCCTAAGATAAGTGAGAGTTTGTTCCTGCACTCATGTCAACATCAGCACCTCTTGTATCTAACTAGAGAACACAGCACTTACTGGAAAATCATTGGTCCTTGAATATGGTTTGAGGGGGAAAGACACTGTTGACTCATATCCTTCAAATACTTTTGTTAGGAAAAAAATTATAGTAAGAAATTAGATAAATTAGAAGACAAAGCCTGTGATTTAACAAAGAATTCGCTTTTAACTATTTTTAGTTTATTTCATTAGATAAATAGTAATTTAATTTCCTCAATTTTTCTATCAACTTCCGAAGCTGTATTCATCACAGCATAACCTTCTGCACTGCAAACTGTAACGAACATTTTCTTTTTGTTTTATAGCAGGAAAAAATTAAAAACTGATTTTTGAATATTAACTGATACACCTTAAGTAGTTAGGCATTTCATTGAGCACTCATTTCTCTGAATGATAACTTTTTATAACTCAAGATCAATTAATATCATTTTTACAAGTTTAATTTCACTTCTCGTTCTCCGTTTTCACTCCCATGTACTTAATTAGAATCGAAATTACACCCTTACGTTGCCTTCTAAAATTCCTCTGTTTGGTCTGTTACTCAAATCAACAGAGTATCTTCACAAAGCCTTTTTAACAGGCTTGGGTGCACAGACCAGATCAACAGAAAACCTCTGTAGTAATACCTGTGGACCAAGTGCTCTTAGCTGCCATCCCAAATTTAAACTACTGATGGGATGAGATGGAAAATTGATGATGAAGCCAATGCCACAGGAGGGAAAACCCTCAGGAGAAACATTTTATCATGTTTGAAGAATGCTTCAAAGGCAACTATCTACTATTCAGCTGTAATTGAACAGTGCTTTCAACAGTCAAAGCACTGTGAAACGCCCAGAGAATAAATCTTAGGAGAAAAAAACAACTTTCAAGTCAAAGCTTACAGAAGAAGCACACTAAAACATTCTGGAATAACCTCAATTGTAAAATGCAGGAATTTGATTGCTCTCACAATTACACCTTTAACTTAGCTTTTACGTCCTTAAGTAAACGTATCTGCAGGTAACTCTTGAACACAGAACAGTTAAAAGGGTAATAATCCTTCCTTTTCTGGTGCAGCGCTCCAAACTTGGGCTACTCAAGGAAATTGGTTGGATTTCATAGAGATTTATAGCAACACATTTTCATACTTTCCCACAGCCTACAATTGACCCTTTGCCAAACGAAATAGATTGAGGTCCCTGCTTTCATTCATTTCTCTGACTTGTTCCAAAAAACACTTTAGCCCCTATTGAGATTAAACTGTCAACTCAATATAAAAGTAAATTGGAAAATAGGCACAGCTATTGTGACATTTTGTTTTTGAAAATTAAATGAATTTAATCTCACATTATAGTTTTCTAGCAAATACAGAACATTGTACTTGAGGCGCAAAATTGATTAAATCATGGTTAATATAAATCAGAGGGAATGAAAACAGCTGTGCTGTAGACCTTACATGTGTATGTGTCAAGTGCTATGCGTAAATTCAACCTGTCAGCTTGTAACCCTGATATAATATCCTTACAAATCTGACTTCAGTTTTGTTTTATTTCAAAAAAAATAAATAATCTGTTCATGGTGCAAATTCTAATCCCAGTTAGACCGTCACTGAGATACTCCAATGTTTTATTACGTATTTATTTTTTAAAATTATAAGATGCTTCTATAACTGATGCAAAAATGAAAGCATCCATTCAAATATTGAAAGCTTGGGCTTTCAGAAGGTTTCACATTCAACCTAGAATATCAACATAAAAGTGTGAGGAAGGTTTGGACTATTTACAAAAAAACTCCTTTTAATATAATTATATTTATACACTAATAAAGTGAAGAAAATTTCAAATATTAAACATTTTATTGATACTATATGAAGCAACATTAAGTTTTTTCATCAAGTATGAAACTACAAATAATAGCACTGACTGAGAGCAGCAAACCTCATCCCATTAGCCAGCAAAAAATAAACACAAGACAGATTTTCTGATAGAAAAAGCCAAGCACTGCTTGTTGAAACAGCCTGTGCTGTGTCATAATGGACCACACTTCTTTGCACTCTGACAAGCTAATAAATTTGATTTGACATAAAACAAATCGCTCCTTACAAAATTCACTTACTTCTTACCATTTCTTTCTAGCTCTGACATAAAGCCAATATATAGTATATGAAATATGCTTATGTATTCATACGTATGAAGGATCTCTCCATCCATCCATTTCACTGTTGACATCACAGAGGCACCTCCCGGGAGCAAAAAAAAAAAGGACTGGTAGCGATCTGACTTACAAACAGATGAGAGAACACCAATGCTCGGCTCGGAAACTCGAAAAGCTCCCAAGCTGAGGGACACCGAGCATGTTAAGCAATTTCTTAGTAACTCAACTTAATATCTTATTTTTTGATTGCTGTAAAGTACCAGATGAACTCAAAGTGAATCAAATTTCTAAAACATGGGAGACATTTCTGGTAACAGGTGGGATTATCTCAGCAGCAAAACTTTGAGCTTTAGAAATGTTGAAGGTACAGACTGAAAGACAAGTTAAGCTGCTGAGCTAGTGTATTACTTTGCTTCTCAGTAGGATGGCTGGATCCACCTCTTGTCATTTAATCTCTTCCTTGTTCCCTGCGTTATCCTCATTTATCAATTCCAAATTCTGGTTAAAGATATCTGTAGTGGATACGCAACAAAAGGAACTAATTTCAAAGTTGCAAAAGCATTAATTTAAGAAAGAAACTACAAATAAGATGACAATAATCCCAAGCATACCTGAAAACCATGAACTACATCAAGAAGCACAAGCTGAGACTCCCCAGAGCTCTAACTTTAGATCTGCAGGCAGATTTTATAGACACTGAGGGCAAGACAGACTAAAAATATCACATATGGAGCCCATCCTTCAAGCGCAGCTGAAAATTCTAAGATCAACAATACATGGGGAAGAAATAATAAGAAAAAGGAAATGATAATACACATACTGAGGAGATTTCGCTTAAAGTCAAGTCTGATTAATTGATTATCAATCTTATTTTGTTTGTGCAGCATTTGTCCCTACTCTGGTACTTTCTATTGTGCATTTAATGTCGTCGCTCTGGATGAAATTTAAAAACTTTCCATTGGTTTGGTTTAGTGATTTTTGAAAAATTAGTCACACTGATCTTTCTGTAAGAAACATTTCTTCACAGTCTTTGTAAAACTGCTTCTAGTCAGTGTCCATGACAGCACCGCTGCTTGTGAGCCACAGCTTTATTAAGCTCTTAAGGGCTTTATGCAGTAATCTTGATCATTTGTGGATCTGTAGCAGTGATGCAAATGAGAGAACTGCTTCAGTGCAGTCATTATTAACTGTTATAATTCATTATTATTCATTATGTAGGAACAATATTTAATACTTAGAAGTTTCATGTCTGTAAATGTACATATACCATTAACCAAACCACACACCTTGCAGGGTATTAAAAAAATAAGTAATTAAAGTTTTGATTGAAGGAACCATTGTTACATTAATGTTAAATGGCAAAGAAAGATAAAGAGAGTTAGATTAATACGCACAGAAGCATAATGTATACAGCGCAATGCTTATATTACCTCTGGCAAGCCTTTTCCTTCCTTTTGCATGAAGTATTTCTTCTTAAATTCGTAATAGGTGTTGTATTGATGCCAGGACTGCAGAAATTCAAACCTACAGTGCACAGAGAAAAGAAAACATACAAAGATGAGAGGCGAGCGCTCAGAAAAATGAGCCGGGGGATGATAAAGAGGTTATGCCATATCTGATGGCAAAATTACTAACAGGAGTTCCTAAAGTGAGACCTGACTGGAACAGCAGGTTTATTTCTGGTAAGAAAACTTACCGCGGATCATTCTTGGCACGGACGCTCGCCTCAAACTTCAGACCATTTCTTGCAACGTACTCAGCCAGCTTGTCTATGACCGGCTGGATGTCGGGTGGTGGGGGAATGATGGCTGCTGCTGATGGGGTGGAAACTGGAAGTTCAGCTTTTGAACTGTTTGGAGGGGAAATTTAAGATGTGAATACAATTTATCTTTGAAAGTTTCAACTTTTAATATGGCATCATTTTCATTCTTGTATTTAAATACACTATGTAATAATTGAATTTAAAATGTAACTTCAGACAATTTAAGCAAAACACTAACTTAGCTTTTTGGGTAAATAACAGTCATCATTATGCTTGATCAAGGTTCTTAAAGAAAACACATTTAATCATTTCTGATTAAGGCAAAATTAAACTAACTGATGTCAAGGCTACCATAAAGAAAAGTGAAAAGCGTTTCCATGCAGTGTCAGAGCCCACCTGATTTCTGGTACACTTGCTGGAGGAACAGAGCTGGAGTCCTGAGTGGGGGCTGTAGCTGCTGTTGCTACTGTGACAGTTTCAGCAGGGGTGGGTGCAGAGCCCAAATTAGCCACGGCCTCGGTAGAAGCAGGTGGTGCCATGACAGCTGAGGTCATATTATTATAGTATGAGGTGGCATCTATACCTGGGGGAGGCGGAGCTAAGCAGAACGATCCATCTGGCAGCATGTAATATCCATAGTACACTGCTGCTGAAAACAATTGAGGCAGGAATTAGATCAAATACACATGCCTCCAAGAAACTATTTAACTGTGTGTGATAAAACAGAAACAACACCCCCACCAAATGAACTAAATATATCATATATTGTAAGTTGATGCCTCTTTGTTAAGAAACAACTTTCACATTTATACCCAAACATGCTGTAGCCAGTCATATGAACATTTATTTAGCCAGGAAAAGCTTCGCTGGTATGCAAATATAAACTATTAAAAGTTAAATAGCAGCACACGTCTGAAAACATCCTCACACACTCACTGCTAAAATGCTGCCACCTGTTGACCAAACTGCATGACCTAATTCAAACCATTTCCACACTTATCCAATAAATAATAACTTTAGGAGGATAACCAGATTCTGCTTTAGTTAGGATACACTTAACCACTCAGCCAACTTGTCCTTGAGTGTGGAGCACTTGTTTGTGTCCACCTCATGTGCAGCTAAAGTGAAAAGTGTGAAGAACTGTGAAATAGCTGTTGAGATTTTATATAAATTGATGGGGCATTATAATAGATTCTAACATGATGAAGTATTTCATTTCAGACTCAATTGTGCAAACTTTTCATTTTAACCTTGGTAAATAACAACCACAGGTCAGACAAAAGTCACCTCTAACTGAATATGGAAACTGTCACACCAGGCTTGTTCGGTAAACCTTTAAATAACTGATACATTTTCAAGATTTTCAAGGCAGGGAAAATGGGAGAGGTGGAGAAAGACAGCCTCCTGATCACAGCAAGAGTGTTTTTCAAGTTTAAATTGTTTCTAAACCAACATTTTTCACCTTTTATATAAATAAAAGGTATCTATATATTTTATGTATTTGTTGATGTGAAATTCAAATGAATTTAAATTGTTTATAGAGGTAATCACAAATGCATGTTTTTCCACAGACTTCTGCAGGACCAGAAATCTCTTTTTGCAAAGGTACCAAAACTTGATCGTCTTAAAAAGAACGCAGTGTTAAGGAACTTCTGTCAAAGTCAAATAATCTCTTCTTTTAACATTATAAGTTCACTAAACAATCAACATGCAGTTATTTCGATTGGACCATGTGAGAGATCTCGAACAATCCATATACAAAGGCATCTGCAGTTAATAATCCTGCATCAGGTTTATCGAAAAAACTCAAAGTTTTACTTTTTTTTTAGTGAGCCGTTTCAGTCATCTTAGCTTGAACTGAACTGAACAGTGAGCAAATGTTATAGAGGACCTTAATTAAAAACTTAAAAACAAGAAAAATAACTCCACAAAAGATCTGTTGCAAAAATAAATGTAAAACAATAAAACTTTTTAGCCAGTTTTATTAATTAATTAATTTTTTGCTAATCATCTGCAGACAGAACTCTAACTGTTTTACCTAGTCCCAACTTACAGAGGTTTACAGGTTACACAGGTACATATTCAGGTTAGGGTGGCTCTGCAGAAAAACTAAACTGGCCTGCCTGCTGTGCAGCCACGACACCCATTTAGTGTCATCAACTGAAAGCATTGATAGCAACTGGTCTCCATGTTCCCAGAGTGTTGTCAAAATTCTGTACTGCATCATCGTACTACTGTTAAATAAATACAGAATTGAAATCACTGGCAAATTTACAAAGACTTCCAGCTATTTTGGCAACTGGGTTATAAAAGTCAATGTGTGGCCCCTGTCCAAGAAAAGTTTCTCAGTCATCAGCAGGTTTATATCACAAAGACTGTTATTGAAAAAGAAAGAAGAATGTGCAATAAAGGGACGAGGACAAAATAAATGGTCAGTGTCAAAGTGGAGGCTGGGATATATTAACACGTTAGTCACTAAGCTGGTTGACTTTAATGACATATCCAATTTTCTCTATCAAGAAAACTGAAAGTGTTTTTAGGCGTTTTGACAGATTGCCTGGGGTTTTCACCCTTACATGCAAAAGACTTGTTGCACAACATCACCCAATGAAAGGATGTTCGCTCTTAAATTCAGAGAGATATCCCTCTTTTTAATATTATATTTGAATACCCGTAGCTAGGCGTAATAACATCCTCAGTAGTCTGATGTTTTGCGCAGAAATATGGAAAAGTCTTGATGTTCAGACCTTGAACATCGAACATTAGAAATTGATTAGATTTTTTTCACCCTGACATTACTGCTATCATCTAAAAGAAGGATCTTAATCAGAACTGAAACTCAAGATACTGGAGTGTGTTATCAAGAGAAAACCATCAGTTTAAGTCACAGCATGCATTCAAGTCTTGTGCTACCTTGAAAGTTATAGTAAAATCCCATTATGCTCTGACCTGACGGTCAAGTGAACTAGGGTGGCATTCAAGCACGAAGCCATGTTTAGACGTTATCAGATTAACTTAAAAAAGAGTGAATGTATTTAAAAAAAAAAATACAACTCGAGCTTTTTTAAAACTCTTTAACTCATTTCAATGTTTGCACATTCATTACTTGAACTATTCTTTAAATTTCTAGGATACTCATTTTATTTATTTTTATCTTGTTAGAATTTTTATTTTGTTATAGTAGAAATTTTTTTATGGAATCTGGCAAGATAAGGATTTCATCGAACAATATAATCTCCCTGTGTTTATTTATACATGAAGTCTGAGCAATCACTTTAAAATCACATGTGAAACTGTTCATTCAAACACTCATCTGATACCCAGATTAGCACTGCAGTACACGTTTATCATGTTATCAAGCCTTCGATCTCTTTGCCTGTCATGACCCCAAGCCAAAGGTCTTTCTGGATCTGAATACTGGCTCAGGTCAGGTTAACCGTTTAGTACGCTTGGCCTACCATGGGAAAAAACCCACTGAATTCAGTATTTCTTCGCTGCAGAGACTGGAAACCATTTTCCTCAATGATAGACTACACTCAGTATTTGTTGAAGGGAGTTTTGATGAATAACTGGCAGTGTATAAGACAAAAGCTGAACAAAATAGTACAGAGGGACCCATCATGTAAAGACCATGACTGAAAAACTAAAAATGTCAAAATGCGTTTTTCTATCAGAATGACTCTACTCACGGTCGGCGCTGTATTGTGTTGGTAGACTAGCTGGAGCTTCCTCTTGGTTTGTTGCCACTGCTGCTGTCCCATTTCTTTCCTGTTGGGCTTTTTGAATTAGTGCTGCCAGGGGATGATCTGGGTCCAACACCTTAAGAGGCTACAAGACAAAAAAGGCCAGTCCGGTGAAAATAACATTTCACACCATTATGTTGTTTGTTGCAAAGCGATACTAAAACATTTGAGTTCCTGCAAGCATTACATGAGAAAGGAGCATTTAATGCATTAAAATATCTTCAAAGCCCTCTAAAATGGCATGTATTTAAATATCTTGCATTATTCAAATCATACACATTAATCGTCCTTACTGTGGTATTACAAGTCTACAAGATTTAAGCTTTAACCCCATGAAACCTTAAACATTAAAATATGAGTCTTCAGTAGAAAATTACAGGGGAAAATCTGATAACAAATCCCTCTTGATGGGAGACAACTGTTAGGCAGCTTCTACTAAAGCTCTAAGATATTAGTCTCAGTAACAGACTTGGGTTGCATTAAAGGCATGTAAATCAATTTTAGATGCCAGATGGTGCTACTGGTTAGAAACGGATCAGTCTTACAGAACACCCCCCACCCCACAAAAACCCCACCCAAAACATTAACTTATGTTCACAAATAAAATTATGCAGCTCAACATTTGAGTATCTTTTCAGAAAAATATCAGCATTATATTTGGCTGAGAAATTTCTCCTATTAATATTCCAGTCGACCTAAAAAGAATTCTGTGGTAACAAGCCTGTTTGTGGAAAACTTTCTACTATAAGAAAAAAAAGAAAGAAAAAATTTACAATACCTTCATTAGCTCCTCCAGGCGAGAGCTCCTTTTAGGGGCAAAAAGGCTGGGATGGAGGTAGCTCCCATCTCCATCATCATCTGAATCATCAGAATCAGATTCTGCAGAACGAAAAAAACAATGTACAGATGAAACAAATTATTGCCAATAATGAATGTTTTTAGTGTATTCCGCACTGTTTGACTACTTATACGTTGTGATCAATCTAACAATTACACATTAGTTACCGTACGAGACACATGCATATGCAATGTGGTGGATCCAGTGAATGCTTTCTGTAACTCACCCTGCGACTGCTCCTTCTTGCTGTCAGAGGCAACATTGTATCGACCTTCCTTCATGGACCGCAGGATGTATTTGTAATAAGGGTTCAGGTAATGGTCAAAACGAAGGAAGTCAAACTGGGAGTTACCAGACTGCTTCGCTTTCAACACTATCTCAAACTGAGCCCCCTGCTGACAGACAAAGTTGGCCGTCTTCTCAATGATGTTGTGGGTCTTGGTGGTTGCAGGCTACAAAAGAGTCAAGAAATTAAGAAATTGCATTTAAAAATGCAGACAGTTTCTATTATTATATTTCAGTTTCTGAAAAACACACATTTTTTTTTTTTCAATTTGCAAAGGAAAAAACTTTTCTCCTTTAAGACACGTGGTGAAAAATTTGTGACAAATAAGCATTGGCACCACAGACGGGGCATTAAGATGCAACACACAGTACACCAAGAACAGAGGCAATTTTGTTACAGAAACATTTTCATGCCCAGCACTCTTATGCTCATTGTGATGACATTAATTCTGAAAATACACATGGGGTGGAAATCAGTGGAACAAGAAATGGTCCATTATTCATTCATTATTGGTCGCCTTGTGTGCTTTCAATGATTAATCTTTGCCAATACCTAGAGAGTACAGAGAAGTGCAGCAGTCTTCCAAAGAATACACATATCCCATCAAGTTGAAAGTCATAATAAATACCACCTTTCAAAACACTGCCAAAAAAAGACTGGCGTCCAACAAAAACAGATCATTATTATCTTTTAAGCTGCCAAGGACTTTCTGACATACACAATCCCTTCTCACTTCCACTTATGAACTTAGCAATTGAGGGAAAAGGGTGTTTGGAACTTTTACGTACTTATTTTATCTCATAAAAAAAGAGAAGAGCATGGTGTCTCGCACCTATTATTCTACAACACTGTTACCCAAAGAATAGACATTAGGAATGCCAATGTGAAAGTAATATGTAATGTTTCCAACCATATTGTCTCTCAGTTAACAAAGGTTAGTGAGTAGAGATTAATTTGCACCTGTACTTATTACTAGAGCTGTACTAAAATGTGACACCCTGACCTTATCTAAAATGCTCAAAGACATCCTTGGCCAAGGACCTTTTGAGGTAAACTGCTCTGCTCTCTCTCAGTGTTACCTATTATTAAGCTATACTTGTGAAAACAAGGGCAAATCTAATAATCATAAAATAATTAATAACGGCGAATGAAAGTGGCAAAAGTCCACCTTAAGACTACTAAAACAGAACTAATCCAATTAATGGACTGGTAGCTGCTATAATAAAAATGTCTTTTTCATAGCATATGAATAATTTAATTTTACCAGCTTAATAATTTTGAACCAGGCCTTGAATAGTTTCATTAAGAAGCTTGTGAGAAATAAGGCACGTCAAACTGAGCCATGCTCTTATTTTAGTGTGTCACAGACATATTTATCTATCCTTCAGGAAAATATTAGAATCCCATCAGGCTGTGTTGTGAATTTGCCCAATATTCAAGGGCTTCTCCTGGTGATATTCCCTACAAACCAAGGAGTAGAGATTGATAATATATGCAAATCATACAGAGCAGCAGCTATGCTGTGTTTGTATATATGCAAACACAAGGTTGTTTTGATTCTCATATACCCACCATGGTATAATACTGGCATTAAAGCATGCCTTTTTTCACATGCAACATTTGCCGTAGCATTTCCTTAGGGAGGTGTTATGCTTCCCGACATGTGTTAATCCCTGACAGGGGAGAATGACTCTTTTATATTCATCTTTGAAAGAAGGAAAGCAGGAAAAACGCATTCGTTGCTTTCACATAAAAAGACTCTCCCTATACACTGTCACTAATTCCTAAGTGGGATGGATCACTTCTCAACATCTGTGTACAACGGCAGGAGAGACCGACTCTCTTTGCATAGGACAGTGGCTACAGGGAATCATCAGGCTTCTGGCCGTGGATATCAGACACAACAAAGCAACAGAAAATCTTATATTTTTCTATTACTTCAACTGTTTCCTTCTTTAGATGGTATGTCAATGTGAAACATTATCTTTTGGCACAGAAGTGTTTTTTCACAAACAAAAACTATGTGGCATTCTGCCTCAGAGTAAGGCTGGACAGCCATACAATTTTAGGACAAAATCCCCTTTCAGCAAACCCCTGTGAAACTCACAGATTTTCAACTTATTGCAGAGTCATTTCTGTTGCTTTGGTTTGCGGGTTATATAGAAATTATTTGAATCTGTGATTCAAAAACAAAGGCAGACAACACAACATAAATCTATAGTTAAGACGCATGTAGAATGTCGTGACATCACATTTAAACATAGAGCACACTGTACATACAGCTCATTTTGAAAGTCTACAGATCATTAAGTTTTCTGCATAGTTAGTTTATTCACTGAAAATAAATGCCTGAATTTGTTTTTATATGAAGTATTCGGATCCTTCCCATATTACTTGGTTAAAGGATTTTGGACAGACTTAAATCTTCTTGGGAATGATTCTACAAGCTTGGCACACTTCTCATTTTGAAGTGTTTTCAACTAGTAAGTAAGTGGCAGCCATAATAAGAGGCAGCTGAATTCTCTGAATACAAAAGAAAGGCGCTTCAGTATTTTCTTTATTAGCACCTTTAGCACAGGCTGCACCAGCCTATTCTTCATGAAGGAAAAGGAGATACAATTCAAAGTGACCACCACTCGATCATCTACAAAAGCGAATGATCAGCATGTCTGACAAGGTTGCAAATCGGCACATGAATTACATTTCCAGCTCATCACATTAGCTAGTATTCTGATTTTGTTTTGTTTTCTAAAGCAAAGTAACCTAACCCCAGCTTGGTTTTCACTCTGACACGCCATCATCTGTGAGCTCACTACTTATTGTGAAAGTAGCGAGCATTTGTTAAGTGTGTACAGTATTTTTGTTTTTTAAATATTGTGATAATAGGATTTTGAAAATGGTTTTTTGGTCTGTGAGAAAATGAGAATGAGAAAAAGAAAAGCATGAACTGAACTCATTTAAAGATCCACCTAAAAAGACAGAAAAAGTCAGAGTTTCAAGAAACGAAGCAGAATATCTAACACTCACCAACTCCACATCAGGAGGGATAGAAAGCCCTGCGGGAGCAACGAATGGTTCTTCACTCTCTTCAGGCTCTGCCTCCTCTACACAAATGAAGGGACATGAGAATGGAAAATAAATATACCGATAAACAGATTAACTTTTGACAATCATCGGCAACAAAAAACGAACAAACCCCACTTTATATCTACCCAGTTCAGCAATAACATTAAGATTATTTCTGAACTCCTAAAACATTTTAAAAATGGATGAAACTCATGCCCTCTACCAACCTCCCCACTACACAAATACATCAAAGCAAAACAGCACTCTAGCCTTTACCTTCATCTTGATGACAACATACAGGTCAGGTGGAAACGAGCTTAAATATTTAACCAGGTACTGTAGGGAGTTTGCTCCAATAAGGGGTCCTTTATATTAACAAAAGGCATCTCTGAAGCAATTAAAAAAGAAAAAAAGCAATGCTTATGGATTCCACTTGGGTGCATGTGGAAGGTGTGCCATGGCAACAATATGTAATCGACAGGCTTATAAAGGGCTATACAGTAAAAGCAATAAAAAAGCAATACTGTTCAATATAGTTATATAATAGCACTGTTATCAGGGTTAAACTACTTGCAACTTTATAATATAGCTTGTTCTTAAATCTTATATAAAGTAAATCTCATTGGTAATTACACATTAAAATAAAAACCATTGAAACGGATCATTTTTAATGGGAAGTCCAGCATTGTCTTTATTTAAAGCCACACTACAGAGTAGCTACTCAGTGAAGACAGAGTGAATTATTTAAATAACCTCAGCAAAGAGATACTGCTTATTCAAATTAGCTTCCTTATTTTGACAGGATGTTAAACTAATTGGTATATTGTGAAATGACTGGCTAATGATTGGTGTGGGGTTTAACAGAGAGGCTAACAATAAGACGCATTTATCATGTTTTGACAGAACACGTAATAAACTGTACTGAATTTAACCTTCTGGTTTGGCTATCAATCAGAACCAAATAATTGAAATATAAATCCAAAAAATTGATTCTGTTCATGTGGACGTAGCGTTTTCAGAAGGAGAAATGTTTCGTCACTCATCCAAGAGACTTCTTCAGTCTCAGCTGACTGCAGGTGAAACCACTGATCAGCCAACTCTTTGTGGTAATCATGGCCATTTGTCATTGATCAATGGTCTTTGATCGGTGGCTGTTAATCAATGGTCATGAAACTGACCTCACAGCCCATTGTTTGTCAGTGGGCTGGTTTCAGTCATTATGGAACTGTACGGTTTATAAGGTTGGGAAACCTGCAGTCAGCTGAGACTGAAGAACTCACTTGGATGAGTGACGAAATGTTTCTCACATTGAAACACAATCAACACAAACACAATCAACTGTTTGGGATTTCCTTACCTGAATGACTGAACTTGGTATATTACTGTGATATATTTCCTTAAGCGCTAATGCTCTCTTTGGTAAGAGGGAAGTTCTTGACCACTTTTTTATTAATGTTTCAGAGTTTAAATAGAGCTCGACTCAAACTAGATCAAATGTGAGACCTTTCTGACTTTTTCCACGAAGTCACCCTCTGCAGGCATCTGAATCTTTAGCAGATGTTTGAATACCATGGGGTCAGCTCTACAAATTCACCAGAGACACAGAGAGGCATCTAGTCTGCTTAACTAGTCTGTGTGTATATCAGATATTTAAAGCAGAAGTAACTGTGTCAGGGTCAGTGTCTATCTTTTAGGAAGCAGTCTTTTTTTTTTTTTTTTTGAGCATGAGGATGTTTGGGAAGTCATTCCAGACATGACAAGGGTGTGTTGGAGGGCAAAGGGTCTGTTTAGATGACATTTGGGAAAAAGACTGTTAGTTTAACCTCCTAGGACCTGGCGTCCACATATGTGGACATCACATTTTGGGTTATTTAGACCAAAATACTCAATTTTGCTCTACAAGGGCCTGAGATCCACTTACGAGGACATTATGCTGCTACTCTTCTATCAAAATTTTAAACAAATATCCTCATATGTGGCTCTCATTTTTCTTAGAAACAAAAATCAGGTAAAAAAAAAAAAAAAATCTGGTCATTCTTTGTTTTTACATTCATTGGGTCCCAATATGCCCAAATATCAAAGAGAAATCAAAAATGCATGCCGTGGAAGAGTTCGGGTCTTAGGAGGTTAAGGTTTGCACAAGGGAGCAGGGAATCCATGAAGGCTCCTCACAAAATAAGTCATAACAAGAAGTCACAAACAGATAGAGGACTAAAAGTAACACAGATGGTGCGAGGTGATTACATGAGGTGATATTCTAGTGCAATACTGAATTTTTTGCACATTTGTCATGAGCTTTTTTTTGGGCAAAAAATAAACTTCAGCAAATGTCTCAAGTGTATGAATGGGCAGATGGCTGTTTGGATTTAAAAAAGTTGGTTTTTGTAAATGTTATATATCAGAAAGAGCTGCTGTGTTCTTCACAGCTGACTGCAGCACACACAATCAACTACAATTCTAGACGTGACACAGAGCCCACGGTAACTACATTACTCTGGGAAGTTGTGACGAGTTCTCACCTGATTCCTTGTTAGCATCCTCCTCCTCAGTGGGCTGAGAGGGGTCATAGTAGTCAGCGCTGTATTTAAAAGCCACGGCGTTGTAAGAGCCTTCATCAGCCAGAGCCTCACTCAGACGTTTATACTCCTCCTCTGTGAAGGATTAGGAAACACACATAATCAGGGAAAAAAAAGAGACTGCAATGTTGAAGAACACTTTAAACCAGTCTGCACAAACTGATGATGACTTTTGATTTTGATGAAGGACATCTATCTGTGAAGATAACGAATGTTACTCTTTTTAAGTTGATACTGTGTCAGTTTTAATTAGATATACAGTATACAGACGTGTAGTGGATGAAAAATTAAACAAAACAATGACGCAGTCCTGTCTTGTGTGTTGATGAGACCAAAATAAAACTTTGTGGTTTAAATGAGAAGCATTCGTTTGCATTATTTACTGCATAGGTAGTAAGGTAAGGTAGAACCTCCTGCTTCCCATCTTTGAAACACAGAGGGGGTTAGAAGTGTCATCGTATGGATCTTTGTGTGTCACGCTTGGGCCAAAACAACAGACCATCATTAATAGAAAAGAAAAGGGAATTCTGAATAACACCAAGGAACACTAAAAGAAAATGTCAGGATGCTTGTCTGAGCTGAATCTCATGAGAGAGTTGGTCATGCACAAAGAAAGGTACCTTTTGCACACAAATCAATTGTACAAAGAAAGGTAAAAGATGAAGTGGAGTGAGTACAACCCCAACTGCCCTCCAAAATTGGGATGTTATATAAAATATAAATAAAAACAGAACACAATAGCTTGTAATTTCCATAAATACATATTTCATTAATAATAGAATATAAAAAAGTATCAGATGTTTTAACTGAGAAAATATTACATTTTACTTTGTATCAATAGGTAACTTCACATCTGAGCAGACAAGTATCACATGTGGAGTTCCCCAAGGTTCCATCTTGGGACCCCTTCTGTTTAACATCTACATGCTCCCACTGGCACAGATTATAAACAACAACAAAATAAACTATCACAGCTATGCAGATGACACACAAATATATATCACAATGTCACCAGGAGACCGAGGCCCTGTACAGGCTCTTGGTAAATGCATTGAGGAAATCAATGACTGGTTGTGCCACAATTTTCTCCAGCTAAACAAAAACAAAACTGAGGTAATAGTCTTTGGCGCCAAAGGAAAAAGATTACAGGTCACCAGAGAACTTCAATCTATACATCTAAAAACCACAAACCAGGCGAGAAATTTGGGTGTAGTGATGGATGCAGACCTAAACTTAGAAAAACACATTAAGACAATAACAAAGTCAGCTTACTGTCACCTCAAGAATATATCAAGGATAAAAGATCTGATGTCTCAACAGGACCTGGAAAAACTAGTCCATGCATTCATCTTTAGTAGGCTTGATTACTGTAACAGCATCTTTACAGGTCTACCTAAAAAATCAGTCAGACAACTACAGCTCATTCAGAACTCTGCTGCTCGAGTCCTCACTAAGACCAAAAAAGTGGACCACATCAGTCCAGCTCTGAGGTCCTTACACTGGCTGCCTGTCCGTCAGAGGATAGACTTTAAAGTTCTGATGCTGGCCTATAAAGCTCTGAATGGTTTAGGACCAAAATACATCAATGACCTCCTGACCCAGTATGAACCATCCAGATCCCTCAGGTCATCTGGATCCGGTCTTTTATCAGTTCCCAGAGTCAGAACCAGACACGGAGAAGCTGCATTCAGCTTTTATGCTCCTTATATCTGGAACAAACTCCCAGAAAGCCTCAGATCAGCTGAAACACTCAGTTTATTTAAATCCAGGTTGAAGACTCACCTGTTCTCAGCTGCATTTGAATAAAGCACCAAATCCACACTTTAAGCTTAAATTTCAAAACTTACATTTAACTACTGATTTTATCTACTGTTCTGATTTTATCTGTTTTGATTTTATATACTGTTGTTTGTTTGTTTGTTTGTTTGTTAATTAGTTAGTTAGTTTATTTGCTTGTTTTATTCAATTTTAAATCATGCTTTTTATTTGTTCTTGTTTCTAATGTCTCTGTAAAGCACTTTGAATCACCTTGTTGTTGAATTGTGCTATACAAATAAACTTGCCTTGCCTTGCCTAAGAATAAAACAAGGTCACTTTGAATTTGATGGAAATGACGTATATCAGAAAAGCTAGGGTCAGGCTGTGTTTATCACTGTGCAGCATCCCCTCTTCTTTTAACGCAGCCCGTAAACAACTGGGAACTGAGCAGACCGTCGGACTTCTGAGAGGAATGTTGTCTCATTCCTGTCTGATAGAGGATTCTAAAAACTCAACAGTCCTGGATCATCTTTGTTGTATTTTTTCCATTTCATGACACGTTAAATGTTTCAGTTGGTGAAACATCTGGACTGCAAACAGAGCATTTCAGCGCTTAGACTCATCTACTACAAATCGATGCTATTGTAATAGATGCAGTCTGCGCTATAGGAATGTCTTGGTGAAATATAAATCTTCTGGATGGGAGCGTATCTTGCTTTAAAACCTGTATATAACTTCCAAGACTGGTGGTGCCTTTCAGATGTGCAACATGTCAACTCAGCCGGCCCCTTCAGAGATACAGGCTTTTGGACTGAATGCTGGCAGTCCATTTGAACTGAGTTTAGGCTCAGGGGAGATGGCAGCATTTCCGGATCACGTTAACATCATGTCTATTTTTAATGCAGGGGCACCTGAGGGTCCAAAGATCACAGGCATCCATTATTTATATCTGGCATTGTCCCTTGCGCACAGAGATTTCTTCTGATTCTCATAATGATATTATCTACCGTATATAATAAGATTTTAAAAGTCTTTTATGATTTTATGTTAAGATAAGATAAGATAACCTTTATTAGTCCCACACGTGGGAAATTTGTTTTGTCACAGCAGGAAGTGGACAGTGCAAAAGTTATGACACAAAAATTAGAATACAATAAGAATAAATACAGTACACAGCTGTACAGAATAGAATAAAATAATATACTATATACAGTAGAATAAAATAGAATAAAAATATACAATAAGATAAAAATAGAATACGAATGCTATATACAACTGAGTAAAAATACAGAGACATCATTGCAACATTACTGTTCCACAATTTGTAGAGAGTTTTTCAGCCGATTGGTGAATGTCTGTCCATCTTTACTTCTGAGAAATCCTGCCTCTCTAAGATGTTCTTTCTCTAACCAACGATGCTACAGATCTGTTACCAGTTAACCTAATTAGTTGCAAAATGTTCCTCCAGCTGTTTTTTTTTAGTACCACTTACTTCTCCAGCTTTTTGTGTCCTCTCTAGCTTTTTGTGTCCTCTCTCCCAGCGTTTTTGAGATGCCTTTCTGCCATCAAATTCAAAACGAGCTAATATTTTTCGTAAGGTTGTACAATACTGTTGTTAATTGTTTTTGTGTACTTTTAGGACATACTCGTGCAGATATATAGAAAACTTTAACAGGCTCACAAAATTCTTCTTACAATTGTCCTTTAAAGCCTAATGTTTATTTATTCTGGTTTGAAAACTTAACATATCTTCCCTTAGTTTGGTTGCTTTTCACCCAGAAAATAAATATATGAACTAAATTGCATTTTAAAAGCCACTGAAGAACGTTTACTCCACTCCGAGATGAAAGCAACAACCTATACATACATACAGCTGGCAAGCAGTGCACAAATGGCTTGTTGAAGGACTGTACTTAAGTGTGTCTCAGTAGCCTCTGTATTTTATATATATATATATATATATATATATATATATATATATATATATATATATATATAAAAAATCTCAAATAGGGCTGGGCCATATTATACCGTTCACGGTAATACCGGTATAATGTTAGGCAATGATAGGAAAATGAAATATCGCGATAGAATATGAGTAAAACGCGCATGCGCAGTGCCTTTGTTTTCATACGCACATGGCTGATTGTTGAGTGAAACAGATGAACCAGAATTGGTTTGTAAAAATGGTGCAACTTCAGTGATGTGGAACTGGTTTGGTGTTTGTCCTTCAGATACACGACAAAGCACATTTTTTTGCAGAACATGCAAGCGGCCGTCGTTATTGTCGGACTAAGATGCTCTTAAATCTGGGAGTAATCGTTCAGGTCAAACAACACTGTAGCATCACTGAGAGTTAAAAACTGTCTAAATTCTTTCATCTTTAATAAAACGATCAGCATTGCTGCTTTACCAGGTGTAACTATGAAGTTTAACTTCCAGGCATCCATGAAAACAAAATTTATTACATTTAACGGAGTTAGAAGTTAGCAGGAAGCTAGCGGAAGTTAGCTCGCTAGTTTTGCTAGTTACCTTAGCATGATATAGCATGTTCTGACTGAGAGATTTCTGAAAAAAATCAAACGTACAGCTCTGCTATCACTTCCAACATAAATGAAGACAAGAAACTAAACAGCAATGACGTTTGTAAGGTTACTGAAGTTGGGCTAGCTGGTATATAATGATGTGCTATGTGATCGCTAGCGACACAGCTATGTTAGCATAACATAAACAGTGAAGCTGGAGGACGAACACTAACACTTTTCCACTTATAAAAGTTAACGTTAAGGTTCCTGATAGTTAGAGACAAATGCAGTCGCATGGCAGGATGCTGTAAACGGACCAAACTTCAGTCAGGAGAACAACTGAGATAATCCATCCACAATACAAGGTTAGTCATTAATATACTGCAACAACATGGGAATAGAGCAGCTGCCAGAGAATTCAACATTAATGAATCAATGGTACAGAAGTGGAGGAAGCAAGAAGAATGAGTTGAATAAAGTTTGATTTATCTGACTGCTTTGTTTCGCTTAATGTGCCTTATAATCCCGTGCACCTTATGGTCCGAAAAATGCGTACTGCACACTGCAGTTTAATGTTGCAAAGCACCTCTTTTTAACTTCAGTGGATATTATACATGGTTATGCTCAGGATATGTCAGCCCATTTCTACTGGAAATGCCTTTTGGTTAAACTTTCAGCAAGGAATTTGCATTTGCACTGTTACATTTTTATAAAGCTTTAATGTACATAAAAACCAGCTTCTTGTTTAAGTGAAAATAAATGAAAGGTTGTCTTTTTGCGCTAGTAATGTTGTGGAGTTGTATTTTGTCTCGCATCAATTATATCGTCAGTTATATCGTTATCGCAAATTTTCAAATATATATCGTGATAAATATTTTTGGCCATATCGCCCTGCTCTAATCTCAAATAACTCATGATCATTATGATATACAAATAGTTATAATGCTACCAATGTAATATATAAAAGGGGACAGGAAGTATGCATGTTGGACCCTGTAGCCAACCCTTTTCTACTGAAATTCATTGAACTCTATAAATATTTCTTATGCTTCCCACTGCCCCTTAAGTGGACAGATGGGTAATCGCCTCAGCAAAATGGGGTCAGATCTCCAAATTCAAGGGCAAACCGGACTGCAAGATCCACCTTCTGCAGTGTGTGTGTGTTTTACACAAACCATTAGCTGATTCCTTCTGACCTGTCAGTTTGAGCAAAAGAGACCATATTTCACTTAAAACTGTGGCTTATTAAATTCAATTACAGTCATTACGTCTGTCTTTTGGAAGGATGCTTTGTCATCAAAAAGGCCAGCTTCATTATATTATGTAAAATGAGTGAGATGCAAGTATCCTAGATGAGTCAAATGTGATTTCCATAGAAATTGCAGCTCTTCAACTCAAGAGTTAAAGCCAGCCCTTTTTAAGAGTCTAAAAGCTGAAAAGGCCTTAGAAAGGGGCGTCACTCTACTCTGAAGATTTGGCCTGGGAAAAAAAATCCAGGGATTTTGTTAAGAAGCATAGATTAAACTTTTTAGCAAATGTGACTTGTCAATTTTTGTTGGGATAAAATCCAAGTTTTATGTGCAGTGGCAGTCTGCAGAAGAAGTCTCATAAGATGATGCATGCCTGAAATTAAAACGCACTGGATAGTAATTAAAACACTGTCACAGACTGCCTTTGAAGAGAGTGAAGATTTCTAAACTGTGAAAAAGCAAGACAGGCATGACACGAGTTCAAAAGAGGACCTGATAAATTGAATTAGTGTAATATGACAGGCATGACAGAAGCAGCAATAAACATTAACCTACTAAGTTTGTAGTAGTTTTTCATAATGCAAACCTTCCGTTTCACCACATCCCTAAGGTGCTCTAATGGATTGACATCTGGTGAGTGTGGAGGCTATTTGAGTGCAAAGAACTCACTGTCATGCTAATGAAATAAGATTTAGGTGATCTGAGCTTTGTGACACACATGCGTCATCATGCTGGAAAGCCATCAGAAGATGGGTAATAAAAGGATGGACATGGTCAGCAACAACACTCAGGTCGGCTCTGCTGTTTAAAGTTGGTAACAACGAACCCAAAGTGTGGCGAGAAAATATATCACACCAATACATCAGTGCCGCCAGCCTGAACTGCTGATACAAAAGTAATGGATCCAAGCTTTCATGATGTTTACACCAATTTCTGATTCAACCATCCAAGTGTCACAGTAGAAATAAGGACATCAAGATCATTGGTTCAGTTCTAGCCAGAGACTTAAACTCCTTCCCAGCAAGAATTCTGGCTTCCACAGACTGTGTCCATGTAGCACACAGAAGATACTCAATTTGTTTCATTCCTACTTTTCCACCAGGGACAAGATCATAGACCTGCATAAGGCTGGAATGAGCAAACTGTTTGATGAGAAGTTGATAACTCTCGAAAGAAATCAAATGAGCATCAATTATTCTTGCAAAGCCCACAAAGTCCCCCTGCTAAAGAAGGCACGTGCGATGGTCCATCTTAAGCTTGCCAGTGAACATCTCCAAGGCTTGGGAGAAAGTGCCGTGGTCAACCCAAAGTGCAGCGTTTGGGGAAAGAGAAATGCTGATTATGACCCAAAGAACACCATCCCCACAGCCAAGCACAGAGGTGGTAGCATTATGCTTTGGGGCTGTTTTTCTACTAAAGGTACAGGACGACTTCACCACATTGAGGGGCTAATGGGCGGGGCCCTGTATGATAAGATCTTGGATGAGAACTTCCTTTCTTTAGCCGGAACACTGAAGATGGGTCATGGATAGATCTCCCAGCATGACGATGACCCATAAACATCCGATCAAGGCAAAAAAGGAGTGGCCGAAGAAGAAGCACATTAAGGTCATGGATAGGACCAGCCATTCGTGAGTCCTACAGAATCTGTGGAGGGAGCTGAAGGTTTGGGTTGACAAACACCAACTCTAAAGCCAAAGGACTTAAGCGTTTCAACAAAGAATCCCTCCTGAAACGTGTGCACATGTGGTGAATAACTACAAAAAAAAACAAAAAACATCTTACCGTTGTGCTTACCAACAAGGTATTTCAAACAAGTCATATTTAGCTTCGGGATCAAATATTTACTTCACTCAGTGATATGCAATTTAATTTATAACTTTTTTCCCTGGAGTTTTGGATGATATTATGTTTATTTCCATTAAAATCGAGCTACCCGTTTACCTGACTGTTCATTTTTTTGGAAGCAAACAAATTTACAAATTCAGCAGAGGATCACTTAATTTCTGCCCCCAGCGTATTGACAACAAGCTGTAACTAATGCTGGGCAGACACTGTGCGATTTTTTCAGTGGCGCGATTCAGCTCCTGCTCAAACGGCACGATTGACTCGCAGGGGTTAGAAGTTCATAGGTCACGATGCAGGGTCTCACTCTATACGGTCCGATGCTCTGATGCGACCTGAGTGCTCACACTGTGCGTCCATAAAATGAAGGTTATAACAGAAATTCTGTCGCTCGCTCTCCCTCTCTGTCTTTCACTCACACAGACACACCACCACCATCAACTTTGCTAAATTGCTAATGAAAAACATTGATCAGGCAGCTGTGATTGAGCAGCATTGTAAATCCAACTATTTTCACGGTTGTTGTGGTCGTGATAATTTTGTGAGGCCACATTGAAAAGGCTCGGATGAGCTTTCCAAAGTTCTACAATTTGTGCCTCCATCGCTTGTGTCCAGATCACATGCTGCACTGCTGTGCGCAGTGTGAGAAACTGTGGTGACACCCTCACGACGGTCGCGAGGATTTCAAACAGGTTTGAAATCCTTACGACCAAGCGATTGATGATCGGGAGCTGGTCGTGAGGTGTTAATCGCTTCTCGTTACCCCACGTATACTACACGATGCACGACGCACGATGAAGGCCAAAATCGGGCCGATCGCCAAAACGGTCGTAGGACTCAGAAATCGGCTCAAAATGGGTCAATTTGAGTTTGAGCAGGAACTGAATCGTGCGACTGGAAAAAAAAAAAAAATCGCACAGTGTCTGCCCAGCATTAGCAATAAGTAAATGTCAGTGTGTTCATCACAAATGGGAAATCCTAAGAAGCAGTAGACATTACCTTAAAATTTCTACTGGAGCAAAAGATGAAGACAGCAAAAATGCTGTTAAGTGAGCATCCCCTGACATATGAGCCCATGCAACTACATCTTTATTAAAAAGGCCTGACTACAAACGGAAAACAAGTTTGAGCTACTGACACAAAATCAGCTTTTGAAAACAGATTACGAAAGTAAGGTCATGATATCCTATTTAAGAGCTCCAGCAGATTTAAGGTATATAAGATGTTTTGAAATTATTTTTCCTTGCCTTTAATATCACTCTTTTTTTTTTTTTTTTTACTATTACTGCTAAATGTTTAAACGAGCATCCTGCTCACCTTGTCTAGCTTCCTCTTCCAGCAGGTCAGTGTGCAGTGCCAGGTACCTCTCCTCATCGCAGAGCGCCTCAATCCTGGCCTCTTCCTCTGACAGCTGGTAGGATGTATTCCATGACCCACTGTCATACTCTGAAAGGTCATGTAAGTGACCACGTCCATCATATCTGTTGGATGATAAAAAGGATTAGAGAAAAGGAAGTAGACAAAACTTTTCATACAGAACATGGGCCTACTTACCAAGGTTGTAAAACCTAAAACCCACAATATAAAAGATATAAAACTGGTCTACCTCTGTAAGTCCTCCATGAATGTTTTCTCAAAATGGATACATCACAATAATGATACTAATTAAGTCTTTGGGAATTATTTTGGATAGAGCTCTGATATACCTAGCAAGTTTTCTGTCTGTATTTTCTTCCTGTTTTTACAGGCCAACAACATTAGAAATGAAAAAGAAAAAAAAAGACAAACAAAGCAACTCGCTTCTTACCTTACAGGGTTCAATAATCCCCTGTAACACTCATCATTACTTCTAAATCTGCAAAGAAAGTTACATTCACACAAACCCGAGCACATAAATACCTATCCGTAAGAACCCAAATGGACGACATTTTCCAAGGTTCGTCCCTCTACGCCATCTCTCACTTGCAGTTTCTTCATGAAGACAAAGAAATCTGGAGCTGAGGTTGGCATTCGGGGTTTGGAAGGACCCCTTAGCCTACCTTGCTGTGGAAAAACTGGGTTATGTAATAAAGACACACAAACAAAGGCTGTACAAATGAAACATAAGTTGGGTCTGAACACTAAGGTGATTCAATTGATTTAATATGTTTAAAGAAATACAAGACTCAAGGAGGTTTACAATGACTTTGCAACAAGGACAATTTCTATGTAAAAGGTGGAAAAAATTAGTCAAAATGATACACTGAATCACCTTAATGACAGTAACTTTTGTCTTTGCTAGAATTTGCTCTGGCAAACAAAAGCATAGTAAAATACCAAGTTTTGTAGGGACTTCACCACTTTATATTAGAAAACGTCCGTTTGAAAAGAACAGGAAAAAGACATGTTATAGCTTAGACATATTATTCATGTGTAAAGCATGAAAAAAGCTTCTAGAGGAAATTCTCATAACATGCCAAGATGCAAAGCAGATTTCACAGATAACTTGAGTATTTTTATGTATTTACTGCAATTGCCAATTTAAGAGGTACATTTAGCGCGAACTATGCAGGCCTATGTGGTCTTAAACCAGTCTCAAATAAACTTTATTCAATCCATTTGTCCAATGTTCTCTTATAATGTAAGCTGGAGTGTATAATAACTTGACAGCAAAAAGCATAAATAGGTCAGTCATGGCTAACATTAGCAAAGACTGACAGGCATTTGCAAGTTAGCATGTTACCGAAGAAACTTTAGATACCAGGTGTTTTTCTTTTCCCCCCAATTTTCTTTCTTTTTTAGTTCAGGACATCCAACAAGACACGTTAGGAGGCAAGAAATAAAACAATCGTCGCGAGTTGCAGGTGTTTCCAAGCTTCAACAAGCAACAACTCCAACGTGGTCCCTTGAATTTTGAGACAGGCTAGCGGACAGGAGAGATTGTTAGCATAATGTTTCGGTCTAAGTTTGTTCAACCGACCTATCAATCATGATGCTCTTGTCCCCCATCCATGGGATAAGATGCTTTCCGTGATCATGGTAAAGAGCCCTTTCGTCGTCTCGGAAGAGTTTGCAGGCATAGCCGAAAACCAACAGATCGGCGTATTTATCACTGTCACTCACATCCTTCTTCACCGGCTTGCTGTCTTTCTTTGCCGCTCCGCGACGATACATCTCCCAGATAGTCGAAGGAATAGATTAGCTTAAAGGACGTAACAACAATGACGGTATCGTGATAGCTTTTTGTTTACCAGGTGGCTACCAGGTCCTCCAAATGTTACATTAATCCGTGGGATTTTGCACCAAAACAAAACACTACACGCCAAGAGCCGCCATGTTGAAAAGTGAGTAAATGCATCTGTGTATCCGGTCGGCACTTACGACAATTTCACGAGAGCACAGTTAAAGTTTACACTAATGTTCAGTAAGTAAACGTCCTAATGTGTAGCTAAACATGTCCACTGTTATGTTATACTTTTTTGCTTTAAAGTACTCTGTATATAAACCACATTTTGTGGTTCCCAAATTATCGAAAGTGCTGCTGTGAAATACCCTATTATATTAAGCTTTTGTTCAACAGATAAATTCCTGTGTTCAAGGTAATTCAACAGTTAGTTACTTTAAATATATGGAAACAAAACATTTTTATCATAATCTTAAAGTGGATTTGACAGCACAGCTGGATGTTTAAGATTTGTAATTATTCAGGCTGTTAATTATTTTTGATAAAGCTATTAAAATATATTAATTAAAAAATTTGAAAACTGTGTTGCAAGCCATGTGTTTTGGTGTTTAATGAATTTGGATTTGCATAACCTGATTAAATCACATGATGCTGAGTAGTTCAAGGATTTACTAGAGACATCTTTTACATTATGAATTATGAGTGAGATGTCAAGCACTTTGTGATGAGAACAGGGACAATTCTAGGATCAGAGCTTTGGGGGTGCTGAGCACCCAGAGAGCTGCCCATCCAGGCAAGGTAAACTTTACTCGTCACGATGAGACTTCTTCCCTGTCTCTGTCAGTCCCTGCATCCTTAAATGTCTCCAGTTGTCCCGAGTTCCCTCTGACTGTCTCCTTGGTGCATTTAAACCCCTGTTCCTCCCTGTCCTCATCGTCTGTTGTCTTCATCTCCATTATCAGTCATCATAATTTTACCCTCTCTGTGCAAGTCTGCAAATTTCTTTATTATATCATAAAATTCTTAAATTCATCAAGTCTCTCTGTGCCTGGGTCCTCGTCACAAAACATGACATCACTGTTTTGTACATTTTAACACAACTTAATCCCCACATTTGTGAAAGAAAAGCAAAACACTTTTTTTTAAGTCTGTAACAAAACCATCAAATCTGATAAAGGTTATTTAAATGCTGCTAAAGAAGAATGGATTGGAATTTAAAAAAAAAAAAACATATCCTAACCTTAATTACTGCAGGAGAATAATGAATGATGCTCACAGTGAGTAAAAAGTAAACTGAGTGCATTTTTTGGACAGAGATTCACTTTTAAAGTGTATGTATAATACAATACAGATACATAAAAAATACACTCCAAAAATAGAAGAGTCCTTGAAATGTACAAAATATTATTAAAAAATAAAAAAATGGAGACACCCTGGCTTATGGTACAATGTACACAATGTATGAAAAGATGTTTACTGCAGATACTCCTATGGCTCTGCAGATCTTTGCTTTTCTTTTAACCTATGTCGCCTCACCTTGAGGTTGGCAAATCTGTCTATCACATTTTGGTGGTCAAGTCTCTCAAGCATCTCTTTCTCAACTGACATCACAGCCAGGTGCTGGAGTCTGCTTTGACCCATGGTCCTTCTCAGCCAGGTATGGAGCTGAGTCAAGACACTAAAAGACCTTTCACAGCTACGGCTGCTAACTGGATTTGTTAGGGCAACCAGATTAACAGTTTTCAGTGTGGGGAAGATCTGATTATCCTGAAGATTGTACAATGTTAACATATCTGGGATGGCACCAGCCTCACTCTTGAGCTTCAAAAAGTTTTTGGCAACCGTGACTTCCTCTGACTGAAGTTCAATATGGTAATGCTGCATTACCATTTTGAACTGCATTACTAATGCAGTGCCAGGGCTGACAACCCAGTTTGTTTTTCAGATTAGTTAGTTGTTTGTTTGTTTTTTCTTTGCCAGTTTAACAGTTTCTGTTATGCCTGTTAGTACTCCCTGTCTGTTTTCTTACCTGGTTCTTCCTGATCTTGTACTCCTCAGGTTCCCCTCTTTCCTCTCTCCCTCTTTGGACTGACAATCATACACAAATAGATTGTATTCAATTAGATTAAAAAAAAATACTATTAAGATCACTAATAAAAAAGTCCTCTCTCAGTGTACTTTCAACCAAAAGGCAAATAACCAAACCACATATATATCTAATAAAGGATATAAATATTGAAACACTGATCCAACATTATCCTTTATTGACGGATCATTTGATCTTACACTTTTACCTGAATGTTTCTCCTTTTTTTGAAAAAACATCCTCATATCCATTATGAAGCTGGCTGTCTCCCTGCACACACACACACACACCACACACACACACACACACACACACACACACACACACACACCAGGAGTTATAAGGTTAATGGGCATCCAGTCAGTTAGCTAGTCAGTACCTTGGGTTTAATATCAGCACATGCACATATGACAAAGTAACCAGTTTCTCTCATTACATTTCAAACAGGACAGTGGTAACAACAGTAGGCTACGGACAATGTTAAGTTTTAGATTTTAAATAGGCTGTATAAATTTCAATGGGAGCAACAGGACGGTCAAATGTTGCTGATTTTACTACAGAGTAGGACAGATTGTAGGGTAGCAAACATCGTCGGAAAACAAGTTTTCAACACTGCAGGTTACCTGAGTGTAATGTTTTTCAGCTAAAAAGAAACATGGTCTGTCTCCTACCTAACTATATAAAGAGTAACTGAAGGTTAAATGCAGCTAATATGTCCTGTTTTAAGCCAGGCACTTCCACCTCCGCTCCGCTGCGTCTCAGCCACCATCGCTCTGGCAGCAACGGCGCTAGAGTCAGAGTAGGGGAGAGGTGGGCTGGAACAAACCATTTTGCTGAAGCACCCCCAAAAATAGGCTAAAATTGCCCCTGGATGAGAAGTATGAAGATGAGACATACTCATTTGTGTCCATCTATTATACATCATTTACTATTTAAGATGAACAGTTTGTTTATAGTCAGATGATTTATCACAGACAATCAAAGCAGTCCAGTAAGCTTAACAAAGTACACTTCTGAGCTTTTATACTGCAGCATTCAAAGACAATAGAGATGCATTTACTTTGCAGCTCTTGCCACAAAGACTGTATTGGTCCTTTCTATTATTTACAGCTTCTGTGTGTGTTTTTCTTAACATTTCTCCATAGGTTCTCAGGGATGTAGAGGCTAAAAAAAAAGTAGGACAGAGAGAGAGAAAAAAAAGGCAGAGAGCATTGTTCAGAGGGCTGCAGTGGATACACTTGTGTATATTATATATACTGATCTGGAGAAGTTTCATTTTTATTTATTTATTAGATTTTAGTCACAGGGGTCTGTGCACATTTGGAAATACTCCATTAATCGCCTCTGTCAGCGCGCCCCAGGGCGGCTGTGGCTACACTGTAGCTTGCCATCACCAGTGTGTGAATGGGTGGATGATTGTATATAGTGTAAAGCGCTTTGGGGTCCTTAGGACCAAGTAAAGCGCTATACAAATACAGACCATTTACCATTTAATCCACTCTTAATTACTTGGCTTTAATGTAATACACACAGGACACTATATGCAAAAACAGCCAGAGAACAAGCTAAGGTTAAGCTAGGTAACAAAGTTCCTATACTCTTATGGATTTAACCTCCTAAGAGGTCAGCTTTTGAGATTCCCTTTATGCTGTATTATCAGGTACAAAATGGAACAAGTAATGCATTTAGTATAGATCCACTAGTCACTTTGTGATGTATACCTATTTAACTACCTGTTAATGCAGCTGTGGTTGGCTAAACATGTATATGTGGTCAAAATACCTGTTGAAGGTCAAAGTGAGCATCAGAATGAGGAAGAATGGTGACTTAAGTGATCGTGAGCAGGGTATGTTGTTGGTGCCAGACGAGCTGCTAGTTTACTGGGATTTTCCCATACAAACATCTCAATGGTTTACAGAGTGGTGTAAAGGTGTGGGATATTTTCTTAGCACACTTTGGGTTCCTTGGAACCAATTGGACATTGTTTAAACACCACAGTGTACCTGAATGTTGTTGCTGACCATGTTGATCCCTTTAAAATCACAATGTACCCATATCCTGGTGGCTGCTTCCAGCAGGATAATGCACCAAAAATCAAATAAAGCTTAAACCATCTCCAACTCATTTCTTGAACCTGACAGTGAGTTCAATTGTTTACTTAAATGACCTCTACAGTGCCAGATCTCAATCCAGTAGAGCATCTCCCTAATACAGCTAATAAATCAGCAGCAACAATGTGAGGCTATAATGTCAATATGGACCAAAATCTCAAAGGAATATTTTCATTTCCTTGATGAATTGATGCCATGAAGAAGACACGGTTCAACATGGTAGTAGCAAAGTGTACCCAATAGTGTTCAGTGAGTGAATATGAAATTCTGTTATTAATAGAAATAAAGATATAATTATTCTGCAATAAACACACATCACTGTAAACATCTAAGACATTGTTCCAAATTTTAGAGGGGTATAAAGAAATGTAAAATTGGTAAAGAAACAATAAATAACATGATCAAAACCATCAATATCAAAATAATGATGGTGGGTAATTTTGAATAGAGAGCAAGACAAATTACACTAACTGCCTCTAATATCAGCAACCCTATAAAACAACAGCACCCATCACTTCACTGACAGCAAATCAATGTGGCAGGCATTTAAAAAAGTAATTTTAACTGGAAGAAAGATCCAAATGAATTCATTTAATTTTGTATTATTTTATTTTTAATGACAGTAGTTATCATTAAAGTAAAGATGCAATGACATGCAAAGAAAAAGATTAGTAAAATATAAAATAAATTAAGGTCACCATATTTCAGCACAATAATCAAATAAAAAATTTTTAGTAGACTAAAGTTAGTGACTGCAAAGGCAGTCAATACATACTTACACCAAAAATAAGTGAGATGTTGTAAATCTCAGGGGCTTTAAAAGTAACAGTGAAAGAATCTTCCCAGGCAATAGAACCTTGTCCAGTAGGGAAAAACGCAAGTAAGAGCAAAGTCAGTGGTATGAATATTTAAAACAACTAACTTTAACACAAATACTCAACTGAGGTA